CAAATGAGTTTATTGTTCACCCCCCGAAAATTCACTCAAAACCACAATCACAATCAAAGTCACAATCAAAGCAAATTCGTGTGAATCCATTTGCCGTTCGGAAGCCACAACTAAACAAAATAAATTCACAAATGTCACACTCAATCAAACAAATCGATATAGCAAATTGTAACAAAAATCGGAATACTCCGAAATTAATTTCAAACTTTTACCGTCAAAAATTTGCTCCCAGTAAAAACAAACAATTTTCACAATCAAAAGCTACCAAAAACAAAGGAAAAAAGTCAATTCAAATTCAAACTCAAATCAAAAAAACCACTGGGCTCCTTTCAAAGTACAGTCGGAAAGGAAAAATTTTCGTCGGGCTCCAAACATCAACCAAACTCAAACACATCATCGAGCCAATCAATTCATGGGTCCAAAGGAGCTCAGGCTATTGAATCAAATGGTCAGCCAATTAAGCAGTCTCCTCAATCGATTTTAGTGACTTCACACGACATTTATTACCAAAACGTTCGTGGCCTTCGTACCAAATCCAAACAATTCTTTTGCAATTCGTCGACATTTTCTCATTCGATCGTGGTCTTGACGGAAACATGGCTGAACAATTCACATTTCTCGTCAGAATTCTTTGACAATTCATACCATGTTTACCGCAAAGATCGTTATGAGACTGATTCATTGTTAAGTCGAGGTTGGTGGTGTACTCATCGCAGTAAGCTCCAAATTATCATCCACAAACATTGCACTCGATGACACAAGTAAATTGGAATACGTGTGCGTCAAAATCAACATTAATGCAAAATTCAATGTTTTTATTTATGCGGCTTATATTCCGCCGAACTCACAGCCGGATATATACAAATGCCACTCGAATGCCATAAATCATATTCCATTAAGCCCAAATGACACCATCATTATAATGGGTGATTTCAATCTACCCCTTGTCAATTGGATAACGGATGATGCTGAACATAATGTTCTCATTCCAACGTGCGTCACTCCTTTGCATGCGGCAGATTTTATTGAAGACATCACTGCAAATGGTGTCTATCAAATTAATTCTATTCGCAATGCCAGTAATGGGCTGCTCGATCTAATATTTACCAATGATTTCATGAATGTCGAAGTTTCTTCTACACCGCCATTATCGTCCATCGATGAAAAATATCATCCGCCGATTCTATTATCGTATGAATGGCACATGGGCAACGTAACTCAAGAGCAAATTTCAACTCAAAACTTCTTCAAAGCCGACTACATCGCAATAAACCGGTACTTGGAAGAGGTAAATTTCTGTCAACAGTTTTTAAACAAGACACTCGATCAAAAAGTGGACATTTTGCACCAAATTCTCAACGATGCGATCGATAAGTACGTGCCCATTCAAACGAAAAAAGTTAAACCAAAATGTCCGTGGCAAAATAAGCAACTCCAGTCTCTCAAAAACAAAAAGAACAAAGAATGGAAACGATCGAAGTTTACTGGCGATGATTCAAATTATTTGATGGCACTTGACAAGTTAACCAAATTAAACACCGAACTATATAACTCTTATGTTGACAAAGTTTCTTCTTCGTTGAAGTCTGATCCATTATCATTCTGGCGCTTTGTCAACACGAAGAAAAATAGTGACTGCGATCCAAAATCGCTGCAGTTTGGTGAAAAATCATCGGTTGACAAGAAGGAGCAAGCTGAAATGTTTGCAACATTCTTCAAAAATAACTTCGCAAATCAACCGTCTCAATTTCAACCGACAGCACTATGTTAATTCCAACACAATCAAACTCAAATGAGGATCAATTCAAACTCAACGAATTTTCAATTTTCGACGAGCTGATTCAAATCAACTCTAAGAAGGTGCTGGTCCGGATGGAATTCATCCCATTATTCTCAAAAATTGTGCTGCTTTACTGTATAAACCGCTAACAATCATTTTCAATGAATCGTTCTCCACTGGGAATATTCCCACCGGATGGAAGCGCTACAGTGTCGGACCAATTTTCAAGAAGGGATCGCGATCAAATGTCGAGAACTATCGTTGCATTGCTAAACTGCCAACGATAGCCAAATTTTTTGAATACTTGGTGAACTTGGAACTCAGTAAAATTATATCTGATAAAATCGTACCTCAACAACATGGTTTTATGAAAGGTCGCTCAACGTCGTCAAACCTATTGGAATTCTTGCATTATTCCATTAAGGCTATGAATGACGAAAAGCAAGTTGATGTGCTTTATACTGACTTCAGCAAGGCATTTGACATTGTTGATCATTCGATTCTGATCTCTAAACTGCGGAAATTCAATCTGGCACCAAACTTAATCGAATGGATCAAATCATATTTGTCAAATCGTCGTCAATTCGTCAAATATGGTCAGATGGAGTCAAGCGAGTTTGTCGTACACTCAGGAGTGCCACAAGGTAGCCATTTGGGCCCCACACTATTCTTATTGTTCATTAATGACATTTTAAGTTCAATAAGTGCCGACGACATTTTTATCTCTCTGTTTGCTGACGACTTGAAACTGGCAACTTCAATTGGAAACATCAATGATACCAACAAACTACAATCAGCAATCAACAAATTAAAACTTTGGTGCGAAGCAAACAAACTGCATTTGAATCTGGATTTGAATAAATGCTCGATCATGTCCATATCGAAAAAGAGAGAAAATTTAATCAACTCGTACTCATACGGCAATCACAATTTTAAAAGGGTTAGTGAGCGAAGAGATTTGGGAGTCATCTTCGACAAAAAACTCAACTTCATCAAGCAAATCGATTCTATTGTGGCCAAAGCGACATCAGCACTCGGATTTGTGAAACGATTCAGCCACGATATTCCTGATGTCCATACCCTGAAACGCTTTACTGTGCTCTTGTACAGTCAGTTTTGGAATATGGCAGTTTA